GAGGGCTATATTGTTATTATACCACACACAGGACCAGAATCAACAAATCCACATGACATTATTTCCCGTTGTAAAAAACGAACTACTTTATAAACTAGAAGCGAACAAGCCAGTATTCATGGCCCCAGACTCAATGATGTGATCGTCATGGCGCTGCGGGACTTAGCAATTGGCAAGGCTGGTGAACACACACTCAGGAATACAGCCATAATAACACAAGACTGGATTGTTATTATTCCATATGAACCCAGAGTGTACGTCATCAGCGGCATACACACTTACAGAGGCTGTAATTAATCGTGGTTTTAAGTTACAGGTTAAATCATGTTGAACTTGTTTGTAATATGTTCTAATTGGAACGCTATTAGTCAACATCTGAAAAGAAAAACCTTGCCAAAAAACATTAAAATGATATAGGGTAACAATTATTTTTCCTATATTTTGAGTGTGTTTTAAATCAAGTTGTAGCTCAGGGGGTGAGAAATCCATTCAGAGACTGTGGGAATGAAAACTGCTTGAATGTTTAGCAAGGTGTGAAAATCAAGGGGTTTCTGGTCAATGAGGCAGTTGAATATCTTAAAATTGCGTATTTAGAGAAGCCTCATTGCAAACACAGCAGTGCATGCAAGGTCCCTTACATAAGCCATTCATTAGAGAACCAAATGGCCAACTTTGTCTTCTATTCTACTACTACTTCAATTCTTCTCTATTCTGCCAGTAGGAATGAGACGTCAGGGTCTAGAGTCCACTGAACAACGTCCAAACAAAGCATCAAGAGCAAATACCTAAAAGCCAAAGAGGAAAGAGGATAGCTCCAGCTGTTTCCCTTCTATTGAACTCCTAACCCACAGCCATTAACAGTTGTCTATCATATCTTGTAGTCAACCAATATTACAATGAATAAACATGATACCAGACATGAGGCCGGTATCCTGAGAGGAAGGCACACGGCCAGATTAGCTACTGTGGAAAATACATTATAACCACATTAGACAATATGGTATTCAAGTCTCTTGATTGTGAATTCACTGCAGTGGATGTTATGACCTGGCTGTGCTTGTCCGTCACCTGTTAGAAACGTTTTCTGTCCTCTTATATTTCTGTTCATTCCAGCTACACTACCCTTCAAAAAACATCTTTTAAAGGATGATTCTTTCAGTATATTTTATTGTCATGTCCTTCAATTGATCGCTATAGTAAGGTTTGTTCACTTACACGAGTCATTTCAACTAGTGCAAGATAGTGTGACCCTGAATGAAAAACTGTATCAACACCTGAGAGGATTCACGGCGTGATTTTAACTTCAGCACGGTTTCTGTACTGGCACGTGCGACACTGATAGGGCTTTTTACGATGGATTAGTCAGCACCATTACCGGTGAAGACAGAAATGTCCTAGTGAGGTCACCAGTAGGACCAGATAACTGTCAACATACAATCTGAAGGTATGAGCGCGTTTTCATAAAGTAATCCTCCTCTTTTCTCTCAACTCATCACAGCTATAATGATGCCAAACAACCTCACAAATGCTTATAGATAACTAGTAATAATAAAAGATCAGTGGCATAAAAAAAAAAGCCACAAAAACTGAACACCAAATCTTGGAATGCAACATCAGGTCTCACAAATGTTAAGGGGTGTAAGATTCAGTATCGCGCTGCAGTGAACGCAGAAAAGTCCAGTCTGTTACATTCTCCAAATATAACAAATGTGTGCCAACAAGTACACACATCAGCACTGACAGGTTGATTTGTGGGAGAGGAAATGATAAGTTGTTGATTCTGGCTCTGGCTCTATTTTACTACGATAGATAGATACTCAGAGGGAAGCACAGGACTTGTTTGATTAAGATAGATTGAGGTCAAATAAGTCTGTCATTTGGCTCTGGTAGTCTGGTATGAAAGGTTAAGGCACAAAGACCTGGACAGTGATGCGATGCGAGTGCAATAGCAGGTATTGTAAGAGGGGGAAAATAGAGGCAGGGAGGCAGTAATGCAGAGAGAAAAGACAGAGACTATGTATAGAACTGAACACTCTTTGAAATAGACCCATCACATGTGGTCAGTTGTTATTATCGCGTGTTGAAGCATTGGAGGCAGGAGGCAGCCATAGCTGAGTTCCAAGAACTGCATTCTTCCATGAAAAGGTATTAATATAGATTAGCGTTCCACTCACCTTGCTGTATTCACAGCACAAACTCAATCTCCTGTGATTAACAATTCTCCAAAGTTAATCATTACAGACATTTCTATGTATAGCTCTAGAGGAAGGATTCATGCAGTGACGACAGATGGACGCATTATTATCGACACTTCCTGGCATAATGTTGCAGTTTGTACTTGGGAGTCTCTAAAATACCCAAGATGCCCTCTGGTCAATATTCAGCCTGGACCCGGGAGCTCGTAACACAGGGGTACAGATCCAAGATCAATTTGTCTCATGAGTGGGTGCGGTCACAGGGAGCTGTCCTGAGAAACGATGCGTCTATTTTCAGAATCTTAGTGCACTTGCTCCCCTGGGTTTCCATCCTTTAATAAATTATTTTAGCTGGGGATCCTGTAAGTGGGCAGAAAGGTTTAAATATTGATTCACCGTGTTATAAATTTAACTGTGAATCGAGGGCAGCTATTTTCTGCCTCCCCACATGAGGGACCTTGCTCTTGAAAATCCTTTGATCTGTTAAACAAGTAAATGGATTGCAAGATAAATGATTTTAATAAGGATTTACAGGAGTACTTCTGCAGGCCATTTTCTACAAACATCTTTTTAGCAGCATATCCATTAACTTAAATGGTTGCTTCACAAAAAGGCAAGGTATTAAGTCTGCCACTGATTGAGGCAATTGTGTATCTAAACTATTACAGCTTACACATCCATTGCTCTCTTTAAGCCCATCATCAGTCACTGAACAAGACTCTTACTTGTTTTACACCAGTACGTCCAGCTGTTTTGCTGAACAGTACCTGCATTACAATGTACAGTATTGTATATAGATTAATGTGGAAACCTCTGCCTGCAAGATGATGCAGGCTATCAATAAATATGTTAAAGGAGAACTTAGCAACCCCACTCCCTCACTAAAATCTTTTCCTTTCTTCTCCAAATATCTCCTTTCATGGACAATGTCAAACTATGTTGCCATGTTAAAACATCTCATTGGCACTTTGAGAAGCAGTATTGTCAATCGTGGCCAGTTAGACTGTAAAAAGACACTCAGGACGTACAGTTGTGGTTACACCTTCACTTGACCCTCAGATGCAGTACCGGTACAATGTGGTTATACCATGGCTATGACATATGCCGTAAACAACACACACCGTACATCCACATACGTATAGAGCTTTGCAACAGCAGCTGTGAGGCTAAGTGTGGTTTGGCAGGAGTGCAGCGTTCCCTTATTACCCCTTCGTGGAACCAACTCCATGGTTGGACTGGCAGAGAGCAATGTGTGTTTATGGGTGATCAGCGGTCAGAAGCACTGCCCTTCGTCAACCATAAAAAGGATTTAATACGATTAGGTTTGGTTCTTGAATAGACTGAAAACTATATTTGGAAGAAGTGAGTCATATCTTACATTAGATCTAATGAAAGAGAGAGAGACAGAAACAAATAGCAGGGTATGATGGGATGAAGGAATGATACCTTTAAGTATGAAGGCATACTCATAAGTCACACAATCTACTTACAGTGCACTTTACAGTCTTAAGCAGACTGAACAAACATTTATTTTAACAAACATTTATTTTAACTGCACCAGCGCTTGCTCACACTGCCAATGTCTTGAAACCTCAAACCATAAAACGGTCATTGTGATACTGCAGTAAAGGTCAGAGTGGGATGCTGAGACAATTATAGTTTAGTTACTGCTAACTTCTTGGGAATAAGAAAACCTTTACTGACCAATGTCAACATCGCCATTTATTTCCATTTATCATCTATTTTGTATCCGTTTTATCAACATGATTTCTTCAGAATAAATTCTTTGCGATGCAGAATATTTTTATCAGAATTAATCTCCTTTGTTTCATTTTTTCTATTTCTGCCTTCTGTCCATTTTTTTCTCTCTGTTACTCAGATAGCATCTTCCATAATTTTGAGTCCAGGCACACACTCCCGTAGACAAACACACACAAACAAACAACTGTGGTAAGAATCCACATGGCTTCAGTTAGTGGGGAAAGTATCACATCCAATGTAATAACACCAACATGGCAACCCCAAGCGGCCCCAAGGGGGATTGGCACAGGACCTGGCAAGCCATTCATCATCAGTCTCATGTTGTCATTAGTCTATACACTGCCAGTTCTAGTGATTTGTGAGCGTGTGCGTGGGAATGCACTAGAATGGTGTATGTGGGCGCAGCACATGCATGCTCCACTGTACTTTGTGTGTGCCAGTGAAGCTGCACTGTCCAAGCAGAACGGAACAGAAGCCCGAGCGGGATTATCCGTTTCAGGATCATTAGTTAAAGCGATGGGGGAAACATATTTGTGTGAACTTTAATGTGTGAATGAACCGCAGACTCAGACTGGGAGGGCAACAAGGGGTAACGTTGGGAGTAGACACCGAAAGCCACAGAAACCAAGGGACCATCAAGTTACTTGTTGGAGCAGATGGGCTGAAGCCAAGATTTGATTGTGGCACTTTTGCCACAGACACTCCAAAGTGAAGTGGAATGCGTGGAGAGCGAGAAAGGGTTTCCTGTGTGGTCGATACATGACGGATGGCGAATGATTCGGCTGAGCTTTGACAAGTGGGGTGGGGGGGAGGTGGTGAAAAGAAGGAAAGGAGAGGGGGGGGGGGGGCTGCTAACCAGTGTTCATCTTTTTAATCACTTATAGGCCATGTGGCATTGCTGGGATGTCATTCTGCAGCTGCACTATGATGAAAGAGTTTGGAGACAGGACATGCGCTTTTATCGCATAGCAGATAGTGTGTCGGAGCAGACGTATAATCACGGGTGTGTGTGTGTTTGTCAAAGTGGGAGTGTTTTAGTCTTACCCTGGAGATGGTGAGGGGCATGTTGAAGTCCTTCCCTCCCTGTAGCCTGAAGCCCCAGGGGGCCGGGCCTAAGAGCGTGACGCTGGAGTTGCTGCTCATGGTCTCCTTGGGCGATGTCAAATTAGCTCGGCGTCGATGTCACTGACAAGTGATATGATGGTGACAGCAGGAAAATGTGTTGCAGATCAGGTGATAGTAGTAATGTCAGAGGGTGTTGATGATTGGTAAGAATATGGCCGTTTAGGGTGTTGTTGCAAGATCTGAGGGAAGATAGGAAGGAAAAGCATACATCGGATTTGTCATTGTATGGCTTGTGTAAAACAAGTGAAAAGGGAAGAAAAATCTGGTGAGGGATGACAAAAGAGGTCAAGAGAATAATGCAAAGGGAGGGTACAGGAAGCACAAGTGGAAAGCAAATTTTATACAGCGACTCTCAGTAAACACACAAAAAAATGCACATATTCAACATGAATTTTCATGGTTCAAATTTTCAAAAATTATTAAAATGTCATGATGAAACAATATGCACACTTGTTAACAGGCGAAAACATGAACACATATACATGCAAACGATACTCGAGTATGCTGCAGCAGTTCAGGAGCATAAAATACTTACAACACCCCCCAGGAATACCTCACAAGAGCACAATTACACAGCTAACATTCATTTAATTGCATAACAGTTCATACTATTTAGTGCTATTAAATTGTTAATGGAAAATGCTGTACCTTTTTAATGGAAATTCCAAAGAGGAAAATAATTCCTTCACAGGCAGGTAGACAATGTAATCTCTAGTTTCCCCTTGACTATCCCCTTCCCAGCAGACACACTGTATGTGTGTGAGAGAGGCAGAGAAGGATGCAATGCTCTTATATACCAGCTAATGACAGAGGGGAGGGGAAAGGTGGAGGAGGGGAGAGAAGAAGAGGGAGGCGAGAGGAAGAACGGGTAGAGGTTAGGTTGGGAGAGAGGGAGGAGAAAGAGGAGGGGAATCAACCGTGGGTGGAGTGAGTGGGACACAGAAGAGGAGGAGAACTGAGGGAGATGATATGAAGTGGGGAGATTAGGGGATGGGAGGAGACACTTTGAAAAAAACTAAGGGGGAGACAAAAAAGGGGGGGGGGGGATTAAGGAAAAGAGCGTGGGAGCACTTCACACAGAGAAAATCACGAGGGGAGGGAGAGAGGGGCAAAGGAGAGGACAGTTTATCTTTCATCCAGATATTTTGGGAACATTGACTCAATGCTGCAGGCTGCTTCATTTAAGGTGGAACCAGATCGTGACCCGAGGACACATCCCAAAGGCTTTGATCCAAATGTCTCTCAAAGGTTATCCTTAAATGATACATCGGGGTGATGGTGACTTGATACAAGCTCAGGATCACCTTGTTCAACTCCTATTACGTGGTCGTTTCACTACTGCTGCGCCGATGCCCCAGTATGAATAAGACAAGGATGAAACTCTTCAGTTGATGTCACACTGACTTTTTAAACATTTGGCATTAAATTGACTGTCACCTTATTTTTTAGATGCTACTTTCTATACCATAGCTCCTTTGTCCTAAACTAATCAGCTTCAGTTGCTTGATAGATACATCCGTTTTATGTGGTATGCCTCTACCGCTCCCTCTTTAAAAATCTAAGTGGCAAGGATAACCCATCTCTTCCTCAATATCTGTACATTTTGCTACAGAGAAGTAAGCAATCAAATGCCTATGTGCAGCACCACCATTTCCATCTTATTTATCAGTTTCCTCATTATTTGTGTCAGGACAGCTGGCAGTTCTTCTCCTTCTGCACTTCACTGGCTTTTGTCCATTCCCGCTTTTCTAGCCCAGACAGATCAATATTGACTTTAGACTGATACTGTAGTGGCTCAATTAAACACTTATCCCATTCCTTTCTTGGCCCTGACAAAACTCTCTCTCTCTCACACACACACACACACACACACACACACACACACACACACAGTGCCTCTAGCCAAGTCACAGCTCCGCACTGTGTTCACTGCACTGCTAGATCGAAATACTTTTTCAGCAAATATCAAAGAGGAGATGGATAGCTTGAAAAATAAGTTGCACATGAGCTTAGAGGAGGTGGCTGGACAGAGACTGGACGGTCTTCCAGACAGAAGAGAGAGAAAGTGCACACAGAACTAAGACAGAGAGACAAGACGGAGAAGCAAGCAGGCTAACTATTACATGGAACCTGCCTCTAGCACTTTTCATCAGGCAACATCATGATGGATACACAGTGTGAGAAGATAAATACACAAAGTCACACACATAAACACAGGATGCTCTTCATTAACCTGCTAAATGGACGTTCCCACAGTGAGTCTAACACAGACAGTGCACACTTCTCCAGCACGGCCAGGTTTAACAACAGCAGAGCAATAGGAAGGAGCAGAGACGGTGGAGTCATTAACACAGTTTCCTCTGCAGAGCTGAGGGGGTTAACTTAAATTTTACAGTGAATGCAATTACACATGTTTATTGAAAGCTATAGCACAGATAGTTGCTCATGCCTGTTGTAAAAAGGACTAACCACATCTTTATACATGGAGATGACATGGATAACGAGTGAGTCCTGGTTAGCCTTGGTTGATGCTATGGTGAACACCATGGGAGCTAACATTTAACTGTAGTAACCAGATTAATGCCAGCAGTCTATCCTGTTAAATTATTCAAAAACACACTGCTGATTAGCCACAACAGCAGTTACTATAACATCCTGTCCTTTCCTCTCTAGATGAGGTCCCACATTTTAACATTGTACGCCCTAAGGTCAGGGGTATCCAAGGTAAACAGAGAACAACAGAAAATCAGAGGGGCGTACCACAAAGCGAGATTGGTGGGTTAGCAAGGTATGTTGAAGCCAGAGTTTTCGGTTTACGAAGGTGGCTCTCTTTTAACCTGGCTAGATCATTAGATAACCTGTTGGAGAAATGACAATCTGGGAGGCGAACGGTAGAAGAATGAAACTGTTTGAAATTGATTCAATTGTGTAACAAAAGTCCAAACGGTTAATATGAACATTTTTATAGTGTCATCGGCAATTATATTTCTTTGTATATTTAATTATTAAACAACACTATTCCCCAAATAATAAATACATTTCTGCCAAACACTGTTGCCCAACACCAGCGTATGGATGTGATGCGTCGTTTGTAAAAACATAATTCCTTCATACCATACCACTTTTAATTTGCTGAAGTCTGCCGGCATTGCAGCGAATGCACCAAAAGCCTATTCTTTATGAGAATGCGCTCGGAGCTTGAAGAAGAAACCCCTTTTTAACAAAAACAGCTGATAACCACCATCATGGTACCCGCCATCTCTAGCTGAGTGGGGTTTTAGCCTCTTTCGATGAAGCTACAGCAATGAAAGCACGGCTTTAAAGGAAACCAACGTTGGCTTCTCTAAAGTCATCCAAGTCCCTCTACTTTATCCTTTTATTTTAGGCTGTGCTATAGGGCAGCTACTACTGAGTATAAAAGTTTTGACCAGTGACATCAAGCTAGAAAAGCAACAAGTCTCCACAGACGAACACCTGTATCAAGGTGCTTTGTCATTCTTTTTGGAGATTAATCATACAAAATGCCCCTTTAAGGTAAAAACATATAGTCACTATAGGGACTAATGTTGTGGATTTAGCGCCAAGACTCACTTGTATAATAGTACTATACTACTACTGTTGGGTCATGTTTCAATGTCCATTCCCATGCGACAAGACCACTGGTTTTGAGTCTCAAGAAGATAAAATTTCTAAAATATGGGCCCTCCCAGGGGCCACCCAGTCTATTTCACTGTCTCAAAACATTTGATCAATTGCTTGTATTGTCACAAATGGCCAATGGCCAAAAACTGTAACAGAGACAACAAAGGAGATTTGTGGTCCAAAGGATAATGATATCAAACACTAACAATAGAGAGTGCGCTATATAGCTCGAAACCTCAGACACCCTGCCAGTCCTTTGTTCTGTCAAATGGTCTATTCCAGTCCCCATATGCTCACCTCTCCACATGCTTAATGATCATAGCTTAGCCCCGTAGGGAAAACACACACGCTCACACGCACACACGCACACATTGAGACAAGCCCCACCCCTTAATGCTTTGACAATCTGCCCCTCTGAATGACATTTAATGCATCATCCACGTGAATAAAAAGGGGGCCCCCGCCACCCGCATATTCTGCCAGCTGCCCACACACACACACACACACACACACACACACACACATGAGCTAAAAGGTCCCAGCATACAACCAATCTCTCTTGTGTATAAATCGTATGTTTCAGGTCAAAGCGGAAGACAACAGCTGTGGTCTGAATAGCAAATATTCGAAATTAGTTTAAATCCTTTCAGTCAAATTCAAAACATAAATTATCTACTATGATAATTTGTCACTCCCAGGTGTGAAGTTGCCATGCTGTATGCTGAAAAAGGTTATGATTATGCTGTAACCCATCTCGCATACTACAGTTTAAAATGTACTAATAAATAACAGGTGTTTTTGCAATATAATCTACCAATGGAACGAAATTCAAATTCGGTAAGATTTCTTGAAATACGATGTCATATTTAGGCCTTTTAAAATAAAAAGAGATCTATAAATTTGCTAGAAAAACTTGTTTCAAGCTATATTTCACCAGTATTAGGAAGTGTTGTAATAAGCCTGTAATGCTCAAAAGTAGAATCACTTAAGATATTACATTGTCTAAAAACAAGTCCCTATATATCTCACAGAAATGTTACTCGTTAGGTGATTATGTCTCATATTAGGTGAGATATTTTGACTAATAATTAGACAAATGTCATTTGTAAGAATTTGCATTTTTGCAGTGTGATTCTGCCTTGCAAGATGACAAAGCAAACATACACTAATATAAATAACTGGCTTTAGAAGACCCTAAGGCATGTTTGTATAGTGTGCTGTTTTTCTGTCTCCTCCAGTTAGACGGATGAACTTGGAGGAAATGTGGAGCATGCCAGACCTAAATAACCAACAGTGAGAGGACTCACAGACATTACAGAAGAACAAAACAAACATCATAATCATGTGTATTATTCTGTGTACAAACCTTACTTTCACACAAACAAACATGTGTAAGGTTGTTTATATTAGGGAGAGTATTTGTCTTCCATGCCATCTGATCAGTCTGACCCCTCCAGACTGATATAAGCCTAACTAATCCCACAACCCATCTCTGTAAATACCGCACAGTTAGGGGTACAGAGTCAAGGCAGCAGCCTCGTCTTTCCAAGGTTTCAGTTCGGGATATAGTTGAATTCACTGCCAAACCAATCCATGAACAATCCCAAAATATAATTTGGTCTTGATTTGATGCATCCAAGATACAACTATCTCTCCATAATTGAGTGTACTATATAATAATACTACTGAAGGCCTGTCTGGAATCCAGAGATGGGCTTACTGTCCTGTATCTCCTGTCTGACCTCACTCACCATTTATAACTTTCACAGTGGAAAATATTCCTCCTTGCCTACAAGCCCACCAGCCCACAACAAACAATTGTTCATCCTCAGAGAGATAAACTGAAAGAAATCTGACTTCAGCTGCACAGAGACATGAGCACACACACAACTGCTTAATGTGTGAGTCAAGTCTGGGTCAGTCAAAGGGAGGCCAAATGCCAAGTTCCCTCTGATACATGCAGTACACAAATGTCACAGAGACCATCCGCTAGTTAAGCTCAGCTATTCTTAGTCGTTCCTCCCACCTACTATTTGAAAGCAGATAAACACTCGAGTCACTGAGCGCTCCTTTTTTTTTGTAGCAGCACCCTCAGGCATACATTTCCGAATCAAATGAGCAGGTTGTCATGAACTTTACTGACCACATTCATGC